CAGGAACAGGCTGGCGCCCGGGGAGGGCAGAGCCCAAGCCTGCCGTGGCTTTAGCCGGCCAGCGCTTGCCGAGAGGCAGCCCCGTGTGGGGAGCTCTTCCTCTGTGTGCTGTCCTCAGTCCTGCCGGGACGGGGTCCCTCTCCCACGCTGACATCCCCCACGTCACCCACCCTCCCTGCTGACAAAGCCGCTGTGGCAGCGAGATTCTCAAAGCCTAACCCTGATGGTTCCTTCTTCCAGGGAGACTTGGGCTGGATGACCAGAGGCTCCATGGTGGGACCTTTCCAGGAGGCAGCGTTCGCCTTGCCCGTGAGCAGCATGGACAAGCCTGTGTATACAGACCCTCCTGTCAAAACAAAGTTTGGGTACCACATTATCATGGTGGAAGGCAGAAAATAAAATATGAATGGCCGTTACCCTGTTGACTGCTTGAATCCCGAGAGCTTCCCAGGCACGTTGGAGCAAGTCGGTCATAACCAGCAGCGTGCTTGGAGGCAGCCTGCCCTCGTGGCAGGGCGCACAGATTACAGCTGGCAGAGAACAGGGCCCTGCCTAGAGAGGTAAAGCGTCCCCTGGAAAAGGTGAGATAGGAGCTTTTCGCAGTTGTTGAGACCTGCTTTGTCTGGCAGGCCAGCCTCTCGCTTTTCCCGTTGCGGAGGCAATGGTCTGTCCACTGGGATAAGGAGCTCAGGCTTTTATCTGCAAATGTAAATGACCCAGAAGGGGAAAGAGGGGTTCCCCAGGGTCTCGATCTTGATCCCCATCCTTGCCAGTGAGGATGCAGACAGCTCCTATGCCACAGTTTCTGCTCCAGAGCTCAGGCTTGGACTGGGAGGACAGTCCCTTTGGTAGAGGGTGGGTGACACCCAGCTAGAGCCAGCGGTCACTGTCCCGGGCAGGCAGCTTGTTCCTGCGGTCACCCAGCAGAGGCGTGGGTCAGGCCAGGGCTGGGGGCACCCTGGCTGAGCCGCAGCGGGGCGGGGGGAGTCGGGGAAAGGAGTCGTCCTGCATACGGAGGTACCCGTACCTGAAGCTACATCTGACCCACTCCAGGCTGGGGCAAGAAATGGTGCAACTTAGGCTTGAGTGAGAGAAAAGCCACTAAACGCTTGCTTGTGGCTTCCTGCGAGGTGTGTGCGTCCTCGTCCTTCTGGTAAAGCTACCTGAAGGACAGGATGATCGATGCAAATGAGACGGCTCATTACATCTCCTCCCTCTTGGGTCTCGGCAGTAAATACCCCAGCGCAGCCATCCCCGTCCTGCGGAAAGCCAGCGCTCCAGCTGGGCACATCTCTAGCAACAGACCCTGGCTTTGTTTGCAGGTGAGCATCGGGCAGTGTCAGAGGGCTCCGAGACGGGGAGGAAACATCCAGGAGAACAAAAGGCCTTTCCCAGGATGGTGTACAAGGAAGAGGTGAGACCAAAACTAGGGCAGGTCTTTCCCCTCCCTCCCTTTTGGGGTGTTTGTTTTGGTAAGAGAATGGAAAGCTCAGAGAGGCCAAGCCTCAGTTCATTAATATTTTGTTGTCAAAGGCAGCCAGGCCTTTCTGCAGCACAAGAGCAGATGTGGCCTCATTTAAGGAACGTTCTATTAATAAACTGCTTGTTTCCAGGCTACCAGAGCTTTGTTCTACCTATTAGCAAGAGCATGTTGGCACGTCTCCTGTACCAACAGGATTGTTGTCCTGGTACACAGGAGGCAAATCCAGCACACTGCTTTCTTCTCCAAAAACGGCAAAGCTCAGCAAGGTGTGACAGCATCCCTTGCTTTCACACTGTAACGGAGGAGGCAAACTTGCTGGTGCTAAACACGCACGTAGCATGAGGAAGCGTCAAAATCCGCTGCTGTACTGTCACAAGGAAAGACCGCACGGAAGATGGTCGTAGTGACGAACGTACCCCAGCCAGGTTTATCTCAGTGTGGTGGCAGAGGGACGACTTGGGTAAGCAGAGCCCTGCCAGAACAAGGTTCTTTGATTTTGAGCTTCCACGGGTCCAAACTACGACCCCACTTCAGTGTCATTGTGCTTACAGAGGGAAATATTTCATCTACCATGGGTAAACCGTATGTGGGAGAAGGGTTAGAGGGCTCGCTTACCAGAGGAAAAGCAGCTCAGAACTTCAAAACCAGTATTTCCCCCCTCCTGCTGCCTTTGTGCAAGAGCAGGCCTTGCCTGTAAAGATGGGGGAGTGGGGTGGCCACACGAGGTCAGATTAGACACCCCTTTGAAGTCCCTGACTCCTCCAGCAATACCAAAAGGCTGGAGGTGATCAGCGCCTTGCAGCAGTCAAGATCTAATTGCTGTTCCAGTCCTTACACACATACACCCACACACCCCCCCCCCCCAAAGCAACTGCAGTCTGGCAGGGATTTGGGCAGTGGGGTTTCTGCAGCACCACGCCTGGTGTTGGACCCAGCCCCAGGCGGATGGTGTACTGGCCTCCATTGCTTGGAGGATTTATAGCAGCAACCAACCTTTTTTCCCCCCCTCCTCCTCCACAGCAAATACCTTCTCAGGCCAATTAAAACCAGGCTGCAGTAGCTCTGGTCTCTCCTTTGCACCCACACCCGGCTCGCCCAAAGGGCGGGTGACATTGAGGCAGACTGGCTTCTGCCAAGCCAAGGAGGGAGGTCCTGCAGCAGTGGAACAGCACCCTCAGGAGAGAGGCAGTGACAGTGTCTGAGGAGCAGAAAGATGAAGCCAGGACTGCAAGCTTGGAGGGAGGTTTAGATATAAAGACAACAACTTCTTTTATTAAATAATCAGACAGGAACGTGAACTGTTTTCATCTTTGTGAACAAAGTCCATGGTGAAGACCCTTCCTCAGCACCCAACGACTAGAGTCTTAGACTGCTCCCTCATGCAGGAGGAGATGCTGGATGTGTTCCGTCACCACGGCAGAAGTGCTTACTGCAGCCATCGGTTAACCCACCCAACCAGAGTGATGTAGTTCAGACCAACGTTCAATCGGAAGAAGGCGTACTTAATAAAGGTATACACGTTTCACTTCTGAGCTAGCTGTCTGTACAAGTTCAGAGTCATCAGCATAACTTCCGGATCTCCACTTCTTATGTCAAGAGCTTGCAGGAAACAGTTCAATGCCTCCTGTGGTTTTCCGTTATCCATAAGTTTCTTCCCGCTGTGTACCAAGGTATTGTAATCGCCTGCGGCAGGAGAGCAGCTCTGAGCAGGCTCTCTATCGGAGACGCTTTCCCGGGTGAAGTAGTCTATCTGTTCCCCTGACTGAAGCTCAGCATCGCCAGTGGATTCCTCCTGAGGTGACTCCGTCTCCTCTGTGTCAGACTGCTCGGAGGGCATACTGTCTAGGTGGAAGGATTCCTCAGTTGTATCGAGTGTTTCTCCAGCAGGTTCTTCTTCAGGCTTGGCAGATTCCCCACTAAACTCTTCAGCTTCTTCTTCCACAAGGTTCTCTTGCTCCTCATCACCATCATCTTCATCGGTGGTTCCCATGATTTCTTCAATGTCCTCAACCTCATCTACCACCCTGTTGATTAGGGATCGCCTGGAAGCAGTAGACCTGTTACTGCTGTTTGTTAGCTGGGGAGAAAAGATGACTTTTGCTATACCTCTGTCACATTTAGGGGTGGAAGAACTAATTCCCTCCCGAAATTGATGCAGAGGGCTGCTCAAGGGAGAGGGCCTTTTTTCAGACTGGTTTTCCTCCAAGATGATAACAGAACAGTCTTCATCCTCGCTGTCTGAGACAATTCTTTTTAAGCATTTCTTTCTACCAAAAATAAAGTCACCACTGCTTTCCTCTGATGCTTCGCTCCCTTGCGGGGAGCCATTTGGCTTTTCCTCACTTAACAAAGTGTTTCTTGGAGACTTGTAAAAACTTTCTGCTTTTAGTTGGAAGCCCTCCTTCTCTGGGTGCTCCAGTGATCTTCCCTCATTTGAGGCATCTTTACTTCCATCTTCAGACTCTTCCAAGACCAGATTGAAGTCAACTTCATCCTGGAGAGAAGGCACAGACGTTCCCTCCAAGCTGGTTTCCAGCACATGAGACTTCTGGAGCCCGGCATGGATTTCTAGCATAGTGTTTGATGAACTCGACACTGCGGCGGCCAAACCTAGCTCAGGAATGTCATTCTTGCCTGTCCCCAAGGCAGCATGCGGGTCAAGCACCCGATCTGACATTTCTGCATCTCTTAACCTCTTGGGATCGTCAGCCATACTAGACTCGTTAGACGAATGCCCAGACAGGCCGTTCCCTGCCTCAGTCAGGCTGTCTGCATTTACATGGGAACGCCATTTCTGTCCGAGACTCCGGCTCGCCTCATCAGGTAGAAGAAGTCCAGGTGATGATGGTACAGTGCTTGATTCAAGATTTTGCTCAGATTCTTGTGTATCAGATCGTTTCTCTGCCTTGCTGGTTTTAAGCAGCTCTGCGTCCGTACTGGACACATCTTGTGCCAGCTTCTCTTCATCCAAGTCATCAATAGTCAGAGTTGTCATTTTGGAGCTGACATTAAGAACCTGGACCTCCTCGTCCTCTGTAAGATCAGTAACTTGGTCATTTTCGTCTTTATCAGCTGCTGGTGCTGGAACAAAGTGATTTATGTTGTTCAACGCTGGAGACCGCTTCCTGGGCTCGGAAACCAGTTCTGGTGGTCTTTGCCACATCTCTTCACAAGCATTTCTGATCCCCTCCATCCTCTGGTCCCTAAGCTGAGACTCTAACTGAACTAGCTCGTGGGCTTTCTGCACCCTCCGCTGAATGTACTGATGGGCTTCCTCACTCTCAACCTGCTCCTCGTGAGCCATTTCCCTCGTGTATATCAAGTCGTGATCAGAAATGCCAAACATCTCCAGAGAGTGCAAGTAAGCAATGTGTTCATCCAGCTGCAGGTCAGTCTTCCTTTGGGTGGCGTGCAGAGACTGCAGCTGGATCTGAGTCGCAGATGTTCGAGTATCTTCTAATGTGAAAAGCTCCCTTAGTTCCTGTTTGGAGAAATACCTGAACGGGTTCTTTTTGTCACCGGTAGTCTGTCTTATTAAGGAATCCTTAAACACTTGCCGCCTGTATATTTTCTCCTCCACTGTACCACAGGTAATCAGTCTATAGATTACTACGTTCTCTTTTTGCCCAATCCTGTAAGCCCTGTCTACAGCCTGAGCATCTGTGGCTGGATTCCAGCTGGGATCAAAGATCACCACTCGGCTGGCTGCTGTTAAGGTGATACCAACGCCACCAACTTGGGTGGTGAGCAGGAAGACTGAGTAGCCCTTGTTAGTCTGAAAGGCGTTAATGCGCTTCTCCCGCTCCGTTAGGTGGGTGACCGTTCCGTCAATACGCATGATCTTGAATCGTCTGTGAGACAAGACGTGCTCTATGATATCCAGCATCTTCCTCGACTGCGAGAACACCAGGGTTCTGTGTCCTTCTTCTCGCAGTCTTTCTAGAAGTCCTACGAGGAACAGCATTTTCCCTGACTCCTGAATCAGGGTCTCCTCGGAGAGGTGATCTATTTTATTAGCGCCTGAAAGCGTTCCTGCTTCGCTGCTGTGATCGTGCTCAGAGCACTCCTGCTCCTCCAAGCCCAGCTGGATGCACGCTCTTGCAGACAGAAGTCTGGGGTGGTCACACAGCTTCTTCAAGACGGTCAGCTCAGCCAAAGGCGACCGGGTTGTCATCAGCACTTCTTTCACGTGATCCAGGGAGAGAAAGTTCCTGTAGATTTCTTCCTGCACCGGTGCCAAGTACACCCACACCACAAAGTCATTTTTCCTAGTGAGAGATGGCATGACAGGAACACTGTTCTCGCCTGGATCCGCAGGAAGAGGAGCACCTGGTTTGTCAGCGCGATGGTTGTTGATATCTTCTTTGGTTCTTCTGAGGAAATAAGGCTTTATAATTGTCATCAGATTCTCAGATATCTTTAGCCCCAGTGCTTTCTCACCTGGAGTTGCATCCTTCTCCCTTGCCCTAGTAATAGGATTCTCATATTCCATTTTAAAAGTTTTGGCCGTTCCCAGGAGAGAGCCTTGGCACGCAAAGTCAAACAGAGACCACATTTCCCGCAGGTTGTTCTGCACTGGGGTGCCCGTGAGGAGGAGGCGATGCTTTGCAGGAATCGCGTACACACACTTGGTTGTTTTGTTAGACGGGCACTTGATTTTATGCGCTTCGTCGAGAATGACATAGTCCCAGACAAACTCCTGCTCGTAGCTGCTGGCAAGCTGCTTCCAGTTGTTAATGAGCATCTGGTAGCTCGTGATGACGATGCCGTTCCTCCTCTGGACCCTCTCCAGGTTCCTGGTGCGCTCCATCTTGCTGGTGCCGTGGAATTCCTTGACGCGCAGGCCGGGGGTCCAGCGAGCGAACTCCGCCAGCCAGCTGCTGACCAGGGTGGTGGGCATGATGAGCAGGACGTGCCGGATGAGCTCGGCGTCGAACATGCCCGAGAGGAAGGCGATGATCTGGATGGTCTTACCCAGGCCCATGTCGTCTGCCAGGATGCCGCCAGGCCTGCCCTCCCGGTACAGGCGGTACAGGAAGGCAACGCCTTCCCGCTGGTGCTGGAAGAGCTTCTCGTGCATCTCCCCGTAGATCAG